AGGTGTTCAGAATGGTTTGATCCCTATTCAGCTGAATTCCTGAGACCAGACGAAATCCAGGTCTCCTACTCCTCCGCCATCTTGCTCCGCCTCCAGGAATCAGATTTTAATGGTGAATCAGAGAATCCCTTTCAACTAGGAAGCAAGGAACCTGAGACCAGAGAGGTTAAATTCCTTGTCCAGAGTCTCTGGACTCCCTGGCTAGTGTTCCTTTTTTTTTTTTTTTTAAAGATTTTAGTTTATTTGAGAGAGAGCGCGCACACACGTGCACGGGGGAGGGGCAGAGGGAGAGAGAATCTCAAGCAAACCCCCTGCTGAGTGCAGAGTCTGACACGGACGGGGCTCAGTCTCATGACCCTGAGGTCATGACCTGAGCCCAAATCAAGAATCAGATGTCCAACCGACTGCGCCACCCAGCCGTCCCCTGTTGTTCCTTTTTTATTATCACCTGATAGGCTCCGTGTTTTTTTGTTTACACCTGTATTTATTGTATTGTGGTTTATATTATTCTAGCATTAGTTTTAAGCAGTTTCAGAAAGGTTATGTGCTACCGAAGTAGAAGAGTATCATAATTTAGCTCAACCGTAATAAGTGAAAATGCCGTAGCTATAAATAATTTCTATCTATGTGCCGCTGCCTCCCAACATATAGACATTAAGCATTTCAAATAAGAGCTCTCCTGTGTGCAGGACCATGTTTTCAACTAGTTGGAGTGGAGACTGAGCCCTTTGCACACTGTATTGGAATCGGTTCGAATGGCACTGGTCTCTGGGTTCTTTTGGGAATGTCATTGTCTTAAATTTCAAACATGGATGTGCACTTCAGATTTTAAGTGGTAATTAAAATATTAATTTTTAATGAGTTTTCTCTAACACCTTGGATATTTATTCTCAAGAAAGGCTATGGAAAAAGAAATTTTTGGTGTTGGAAAGTATACATGCAATTTTCATGTCACATTTTTATATTTATTTTTTCCAGGTGAAGGGGAATATAGTTAAGTAGAGGTATGGTTCCTCCCCAGTCTTACCCTTGAAGGGAATAAATAAAAAACTGGGATTAATTTGGTCTACTACTTTGAGCTAACTTTAAAGAATTGTTTATATTTTTTATTCAAATATCAAACCTGGCTTTTGTTTTTGTTTTTGTTTTTTTGGGAATTTTGAGGTTCTCTTGTTTTGTTTTGTGTTTTACTTATCAATTTTTTTTTTAACCACGGGGTGGCTGGCTGAGTCAGAGAGCATGTAATTCTTGATCTCACGTTGTAAGTTCGAGGCCCACATTGGTGTAGAGCTTACTTAAAAATAAAAGCTTTAAAATAATAATACATAATTTAGCCAAAAGAGTTGTAATAAAGCTATTTGAAATCTTTCTTTCTTTCTTTCTTTCTTTCTTTCTTTTTCTTTCTTTTGCTAATCAAAGTTTCTTTCTTTCTTTCTTTCTTTCTTTCTTTCGTTTAAAACGGCATCACTAGGTTAAACTTCAGATCAGCTTGTATAGTGTGGTTTCCCAGGGTGTTGGCATGAAACTGAACTGAAGTCACTCATTATAGTTTTCTTTTTACTGGAAGTTTTTTCTTTTTCCTTCCAGTCTCAGATTGAGTGTTCCTTCCCCTGACCTTTCAAAGAAAGGTAGGAAGTACTGTTCCCGGTTTGATTCTGTAATTCGAGAATAGTAAAAAGGGAAATCTTCAAGTTTCAGAACCAGGGTGAGTATCTGGGAAAGAGCAATTAGCTGGGAAAGAGCAATTAGCACCCTCATGAAACAGTCCCATCATGTCCTTGGAAGTCTTATTCATTCCTGAACTATATTGGAGTGCCTAGATCGTGCCAGGCATTCCGCTGCAGGATGGGGGTCCCAAAACGTGACTTTGGTCCTTGCTCTTTTAGAGCCGCACAGGACGAGAGAAGGTGATATTGTTCACCTGATCTTGAAATGCATAGATAATTAGGATGTGTGGCAAGAGCCGTGAGACAGGTACCCAGTGCCCAGGAGGCACTTACCAGGGTGGAGGTGACAACAGATACTCCTCAGAAGTCACTGGAGGTGCCAGCGCGTATCTGGGTCCTGAGCACTTCAGGAGGGTTTGAGGACTTCAGGGAAGGTCAGCAGAGCTGGGGTCTGAAGGGATGCGTGAGTCACACAAGATGAAGCTGGAGAGGGGAGAGAGACAGACTGACAGGGACCAGACCAAACCGTCAAGAGCTTTCCAGGCCAGTCTGAGGATTAAAAAAAAAAAAAAATCTTAACAGCAGTTGGAGACAAAGTGTTCGAAGCGGGAAGGATCACATAAGCCTTCCTCTGACTGCAGGGTGGAGAATTCTTAAGTACTTCATGGTGTATTCTATTAGAGTTTCACAGAGTCGCTACAAAATACAGGCTGCTTTGCTCAGTCCCTGTAGGAAAATCCTCACTGAGGGTCTACCTCCAAAAGATCCACTAGTTCTTACTGCCTTTAATTGGTAATCAAGGCAAAACATCTTAACCGTGATTATGTTGGGAACTCTACCTGCACCATCATTAAATTGCTGCCTGTTTTGTCATATTGGTCTGTATTTCATTCTTTGTGTCTCGAGCTTCACACGAGACCCGGTGTGGTTTCTGCCCAGCACCTGAGAGAGGTGAGACACTGTGGTCAGCGTGGAGACAACTGAATCATACATACCCCTTTAACTGAGCTTTCCTTTTACATTGCTACAGAAACCCTGCCTTTGTAAGCAGCATACCATAGAACCCTGGACAAGGTCAGGAGACTTGGGGGTGAGATCTTGGTTGGCTTCCAAATTTCTTTATGACCTCAGGCAAGTCATTTCCCCTTTTTAGGGCCTAGTTTCCTTGTCTTAAAAATAAACAAGTTGGACCAGGTGATTTTTTTTTTTTTTTTTAAGGGCCCTTCCTACTCAGCCTGTGATTCTAAATCGACGGTTCATGTTCCGTCTCAATAACATAAGATCTTTTTTTTTTTTAAAGATTTTTTATTTATTTATTTGAGAGAGAGAGTGAGAGAGCCCAAGAGGGGGTAGGGTCAGAGGGAGAAGCAGATTCCCTGCCGAGCAGGGAGCCAGATGCAGGCCTCGATCCCGGGACTCCAGGATTATGACCTGAGCCGAAGGCAGTCGCTTAACCAACTGAGCCACCCAGTAACATAAGATCTTAAGTGAACCTTTTGCTACTTTCTCAGGGCTAGCATTAGAAGGATCCTATCTTATCGTGTTCAGAAATATCCCTTGGCAGGGTCCACTGTCTCCTTGGTGGAGCGAGTGCAGTTGCTGTCTCTAGCTGGGAAAGACCCTAAGTTCTGGGTCCACCAGCCTCTCTCTGTGACATCTGAATTGCACTTTAGATCAGGAACCAGAGTGTGTGGGGACCCCACTAAGGAAGGAGCAGAATGAGCCATCTTCAGCAGGCTACTAGAAAGGTGGTTCCTTATGTAGTTCCAAGAGGGCCCCAGGAAGGCTGCATGGCTTTTTTTTTTTTTCTTTTGCAACATGGCTTTTAACAGAAAAAGGAAAGCACTTTTATTTTGCCTATTTAAAGCAAAATTGCGCTTGAAATCAGTAGTCACTAATACCACCTCAACAGCGTTTTAAGGCAAAAACTAGGTGATCACAAAATGAAATTTGTAATTCATTCTGGAGTGATTTCCTCTGGAAGATGTATGGAAATTGAATTCAAGTTCTTGATTCTCTGGTATAGAAAGGTATTAACTCAGATTTATTGGTCTGCCCTGAAAACGGAGGTTTGGACAATGCAAATTCAGTGTATGGATTATTCTGTTGAAACTTGAATATTTTCTGTGGAATTTAATAATTTTTTGTTTCTGTTAAAAAAGTGAATATAGTTTTTTTTTTTTTTTTGCCAGTTTTTATTTGAATCAGGTGAGTGGCGAGTATATTTTTTTTTTTTTGACCTAGTCATAGATCTGGCTTAGCACCGATGAAGTTTCCCAAGGGTACACACGCCCGCGTCGGGCACTCAGGTCAAGGGACAGAAAGTGACCTGTATTCCAGAAGTCTTGTGCCCCTTCCGGTCACCCACCCCTCCCCCAGGCTAACCACTGCCCGGATTTCCAACACCGAAATTTAGCTTTGCCCGTGTCTGGGCTTTGTCTGAATGTACTGTTCTGTGTCTGGGCCTCTGTTGCTCAGTGTTGTGTGCAAGATCCATCTGAGTCATTGCCCCAGAGCAGTAGGGCATCCTGCAGCTAAACAGCGGAGGCCCGCGAGCTGTGCGAGGCCCGTGAGCCAGATCTGGCTTGCAGCCTGTTTCTGTGCAGCCCATGAACAGGGATGGTTTTTACGTTCTTAAGGGACTGTATAGAAAATAAACAAAGAATATGGAGCAGAGACCACATGGAGCCTGTAAAAGCAAGAACAGTTACTGTCTAGCCCCTTGATTCAGAGAATCAAGAACTTGAATTCAATTTCCATATATCTTCCAGGGAAAATCACTCCAGAAAAAAGTCTGCTGACCGTGGCTGTCTAGTATTCCGCTGCACAAATATCCCACAGTTCATGCATCCATTCTAGCATTGACGGATCACTTCCCGGTTTGGGCTATTGCGAATAGTGCTGTGAGGAAGAGTCTCACGCCGTTCTCTTTGGTGCATAGAAGTCTAGGTTGCTGTGAGGTGTATACCCAGGAGTGGAAATGCTGGGTCATAGGGTTTGCAGACGGTGCTCAGCTTTGGCAGATAGCACCAGTTTGCGAGAGCACTTGTACCATTGTGTGCTCCCAGAAGCCATATATGGGAGATCCATTTCCACCCTCTCTTTCCAACCACTTGGTATTGTCAGTCTCTTTAATTTTAGCCATTTTCGTGGGTTTTAGCGATAACACATTGCAATAACACATTTCCTTGGGGACCACTGTGGTCCAGCATCTGTTCAGAGGCTTGTGAGCTATTTGATACTCTCTTACGTGAAGTGCCCATTTTTAAAATTAATTAATTACTGTTGTTATTACTACTGCTGCCTTTTTTTTTTGCCATTATTCTGTTGGTTGTTTGTTTTCTTCTTTATCGATTTATTTTTTTTTTTTGTATAGTCTAAATATGAGTCCTTTATGTATGTATGGATTGCAGTTATCTTCTCCTTTTCTGTGACTTGCCTTTTTACTCTCTTAATAGTATCGTCTGAAGAACACAAGTTCTTAATTTTATTGTAGTCCAGTTTAGCAATATTTTTACTGTTAGTGCTTTTTCATGGCCTAAGAAATCTTTACTTACCCTAAGGTCATGAAGATATTCTCCTTTGTTTTCCTCTAGAAGCTTCATTGTTTTCCATTTAAATCTTTGTCTGCCTGGAGTTGACTTTAGTGTGTGGTGTGAGGTAGGGGTGGATGTTCACTTCCTTTGTGCAAATACCCAATTGCTCCAGTGCTGTTGATTGGGAAGGCCATCATTTCTTCCCACCCTGTTTTGTCAGTCTATCACAAATCAATTGACTGTTTATGCTTGAGTCTATTTCAGGATTCTCTCTTTTGTTCTGTTGGTCAGTTTGTCCGTCCTTGGGCTACTACCACACTGTCTGATTTACTGCTGCTTTATAGTAAGTCTTGATATCTGGTGATGTAACTTTTCCAGGTTTGTTTTTCTTCTAGAATGTCTCTACTTTTCCTAGCTGTGTACATCTTCGTATACATTTTGGAATCAGCTTGTTGATTTTCATTTTAATTAAAATTGCACGAAATCTCTAGATTGCTTTGGGGAAAACTGACGTCTTTATAGTTGTTATTCAGTTCCTGACCTTGGTATATTTTTCCGCTTTGAAAAGCTAGTTGAATTCCCTTCTATGCTCGCCCAGTGTTTCAAGACAATAATATAGGTATTTCCTCCTACTGTGATATGGTTATTCCAATGTCAGAATCTGAGATTGAAATGGATATTTGACTAGCCAGCACAAAAATGTTGACCGACAAAAAGGCTAGCAAGGCAGCAATATTTTTCTGTAGAATCTGGGTCCTTTGAAGATGGAGTTAAAAGGGTCATGAATGAATCTGAGAGAGATGAGACCTTTGAATTCATCTGTTCCACTTAGTAATGCTCTGTCTCTATGCATTTTGTCATGTTATCAGATCTGTTTTGCTGGGACCATTAAGGTTACCATGGAGGGGTCTGTGCTCAATGCACAGGGCAGCGGTGTGGATGAGAAAAGCTGTGGATATTGTTTGGTAGCAGATAACACGTGCTTCCCGGAACAGCTTTTGTTTTTCTTACAAACTCTTGCTTTTTCTCTCTAGGACTGCCCTTTCATTGTCTGTATGACCTATGCCTTCCATACTCCAGATAAACTCTGCTTCATCTTGGATCTGATGAACGGTGAGCGACGCACAGGAAGTCTGAATGCAGGGAAAGACTTCGCTGGGACATGACACCGATCTATCTAGGCACCCTGGCGGTTTGGGTCTTTTGGATAATTGGGTTCCCACTGAAGTTTAAGGAAACCTTACTCTTCAAGTTTCCCTTAGAATTCATTTTAAAATGTTGACCACCATTCCCCTATGGCCCTCCTAGACTCTCACCAGGAAATTGCATTTTCTGGAAAAGATTTTCATAAAATACACAGAGTGAAACTACATTTTCTGGAATGCAGCTGGCCTAGATCTTTAATTAGCTTGTTTCCTGACACTCAACTTTTAGGAATGAAATCCCTCATAAGAACAAAGGCCAAAGATAGAAGTGTATTTGGAAACCAACTTGGAAGGACTGGCTGTGGGCCGGCATGGCTTTGGGCCGAATCTTCTGTACCCTTAGCCCAGACCAGCCAGCCATTGATCCTTTAAGCTATGAATGATGACACTGCAAATGCCGAGAAAGTTCTAGCTGGAAAAATAGTTTTCTGATACTAGAGAGTGACACGGTATATATTCCAAGTGTTTTTAGTAACGAGAGCTTGAAATGAAATGCATACGGTATAGCAAATGAATTACCTTTTTTTTGGAAGTTCATTTGAAGTTCTGTTATGTTTTGAGGGTTTGACTTAAAACCAGATCTGTTCAACAACATGGAGGAATTTTCCAGACATAATAATGGGCAAAGAAGCCAGACACCATAGCATGTCTCCTGTGTGATTCCATGTACGTGACTCTCAGAACAGGCAAAGCTAATGGATGGTGAGAGGTCAGAATGGAGTCCCTTGGCCTAACCAGGGGCGGGCGCTGAGGCATTGACAGGGAAGGGCATGGGGCACCCTCTGGGATGCCGGAAATCTTTTACATCTTGATCTGCCAGCGGTTATACAGGAACACGTGTGCGTGAAAGGGGGAGATACGTAAGCAAAATCAGAGGCCATAAAGCTGGCCACACATTAACTTCTCCAGATCAGTAGAGGCTATTCCTTTACAGTTTATAAGAACATTCCCTTACCCTGTTGGTGGCATTCTTTGTCTCTGTAACTTGAGCTCATATGATGATTGCCTTTTTCCAACATTTTATTATGAAAAGTTGCAAACATGGGGCAAAAATGGAAAGAATTTTCCTGGGAACACCCAAATACCCACCTCCCTGGATTTCACCAGTTAAATTTTTACTGTATCTGCTTTCCCAAATATCTATCAATATGATCATTTTGTTTCTCTGTGTGCTTCTTTCTTTATTGTCCACAGAGCCAGTTGCTAAGCCATCTGCTGGATCATTACATGGTCGGTCCAGTTACTAGACAGGATGTAAATACTCAAAGCAGATAACCCAGCTGCCCCCACCCCCACCTGTGACGGTGCATCTGGGAGCTGGACTCCCAGTCTGAGAGTGATGACTGTGTTGTATATTGTCCCGGCCGTCCCGGCATGCAAGCCTTCTAATGTTTGAGACTCCTCTATACTTCTGAAAGTGTTTTGGCAAACTACAGAAGTCAAAAGACAGATACACAGACAAAGCAGAAGCAGATTTGCCTCTTTTCAACTGTGTCCTATTTAGGATGGCAATGATTTTTGTTTCCTGTGAACTGACACACTTTGTATTAAGCTCTGCGTCTCTGGTTCCAGGGGGCGATTTGCACTATCACCTTTCACAACATGGGGTGTTTTCTGAGAAGGAGATGCGGTTTTACGCCACTGAAATCATCCTGGGGCTGGAACACATGCACAATCGGTTTGTGGTTTACAGAGATCTGAAGGTAAGGCACTCTGTTTCCGGGACCTGCACAGTAGGTATTGTGGTCCTGGGTCTCCAGACGGTCCCTTGTCTTTCACAGGACATGCCATTTTCCTCCCCTCAGCCCCGGTGAGGTCACATCTGTGTGATGTCTCTCTGCCCAGACTCTAAACTCTGTGCCAGGCACTCCTTTCCTTCCTAGTTGTCACTGCCAGCTCAGCGTGTGTTCCCCTGCCTGGCACAGCACACACACCAACTCAAAAATTGCAATGAATTAATGAAAAGCAAGGTAGGAGTTTCGTGGCATTGCTGATGTGACAGTTAATTGAAATGCACTTAATGTTCACTAAGCAACTGGTTTGGCCATGGCTCTGTGTCAGAACTGGTGATGTACAAAGATGAAAAACAGAGAATTGTGTCTTCCGGGATTTATACACGGGTGAACCGAGACGCAGAACGGCCGAGTCCTAGCTCATCGAGGCAGGGCAAATCAACCTGCAGAACTTCCCCTAAAGGCCACTCTGAGAATTTCACATTGTTTTAGGACTGTCTTCAAAATCACTAACAGATTTCTAGGTCCCTAAACTGCGGAGCCCCAGACGGCTGTGTCTGGGCTTCTTCATTCTTATTCTCTCCGCATTTGGAAAAAAATGCAGTGAGTCTATTCCAAGTTTCCCCCTTCCAGGCCATGGTGCTCGGTCCTGGGTTCTGCATTCATAAGGGAGCTAGGAGTTTGCTCAGTGCCTCCGTGGTGACACTCATCGCGAGAAGACGGGGATAGAGATAAAAGGGACCTTGACAAATTGTAGAAATGATCATGCAAATACAGTAATGTGCACATAATAACGAGGAGAAAAATGATAGGAGAGACAGTTTCCCAACAGGGTAAAAACATTCCGGGGGGAGGTGTTTGCCTTCTCTTTCGGATTCTTTCTCAAATGAATCCAGTGTAACCGACTGAAATGTGCAGATTACGCTCCTTTCTCTCAGGAGCTGCTGTGTTTTGATTAGCTGTCTTCGCTTTTTAAGGTTGCCTTCCAAGAATCTAAAATACTATATTTTATTTTTGAGCCTCTTACTTTGTCACAAAACACATCGTAAAATTTAAAGCTTTCTGCAAGGTTACGAAATTATCTCCTTAGTTTTCATCTGAGCATGAAGAAGAAAAAAATGTATTTTCATTGAATTAGAAATAATTAGACACTGGTTGGCACATGACATTTCGTTTCCTCCTGTGAGTTTTGCAGAAGAATAAACTACATGCTGAAGGCCCATGAAGCACTATTGTAATAACATTTTAATTTAGATCTGTAACCGGTCTGTAATCATCTTTATGCTGTATGTTTTGTTTTGTTTTCTAAGCTATTTAGTAGGCAGTGGTATTTTTTAATTTCTTTTCAAACTGAATTCTAGTCACTCATGATTATTCATGCTTCAGTTTTATAATAGCATGCCATTTATTTTTATTTCAAGCAAAACAATAGTTGATCCCCAGCAGAAAAATATTAAGATGACTGTAATTCAATATATATTAGGGAGAGGAGCTTTGTTTTCCGTGATTATGCTGGCTAAATCTAATCTCAGTAGATACATTTCATCAGAGTTGTGGTCAGAGTCATCGTGGGTCATTCGGTGAGGTCCTGGGTTCTGATTCTGTCCTCAGAAGCAGAAGTGCCATCCATCGGGATTGGTGTGGCACTGTGGAATATGTTGATTTCTTAGGTCCATGGTGGTACATTCTCATGAGATTCCTTTCTGTCCTGTGCCTCGTGGGCTCGTCCCCTGGGGCCTTTGTGGTTCACAGAAACTGAGAAGCTGGTGGACTCGCTCCCTCTGTGGAGAGGTGTGCGGCTCTGGCTGGGCCACTGTTCGCTCTTCTGGAGGGGGTGGGGGCACGGGAAGTACTTTTTAACTCTGATGAACCGTGGTTATCAGCCCTGCAAGCTCCCTGCCTTGTGTCTCGTTATCTCATGAATAGACTCCTTTGTGTCTGTCATTGCCACTTTCCTGTGGGATTTAAACATGAAAAGTGTGACTTTCCGCATCGTACCCAACCTGGATGTGATAGTGTGGAATTCGTGTTCAGATAAAATGATAGGGTATCACGTTCCTGTGATTGTAGAGATTCTCAAAGCTTATGACAATTTGGGAACTCCTGAAGATCATCTTGTCTTTCTCTTCAGCCCGCAAATATCCTCCTGGATGAGCACGGACACGTCAGGATATCCGATCTTGGTCTCGCCTGTGACTTTTCCAAAAAGAAGCCCCATGCGAGTGTGTGAGTAGTGCCATCAGCTCTGTTCACCGTTCACTGTTGTTCCTCTACAGCGATGCGTGGATTGGCTCAGACCCCAGTCTGCTCACTTGTTCCCCCAGCTTTTTCTTGCCAGAGGGGATTGTCCATATGTGATAACGCTGGGTCGGGGGCAGGCCCCATAGCCCTGGTTATGGGAGCGGAGCTAAGCTGGGTGTGCGTCCTCCGTCTTCGGGGAGTGAAGATGGGCCCGCAGCGTGACCGCCGGGGCCTGGGTGTCTGTGGGGGAGAGAGGGGCCTCCACAGCAGACCTGAGCCTGTGCCGGCTGTGCGACCCTAGTCAGTCTGTTTACCTGCTTGCCCCTCCGTCTTCTCGTCTAGAAAGTAGGCAGTACTAAATCCCTGCAATTGTCTTAAGGAGAAAGGGAAGCCTGTGTGCCCGGGGAGGTGCAGGGGCATCTGCATGCAGCTGTCCAAGGGAGGCCCAGAGCTCAAGCGTCTCTCTCCATCATCTGTTTTCTCCTTTGTTTTCAAAATGGCTTTTTATGTCCCTGAAGCGAAATTAGGAATCTTTTTTTTTTTTAATTAAAAACACAAATCATCTGCTAGCAGGCCATGTTAGACTTGAGCATTAACTACATCAGTCCTCCAACAGACCATGCAGAGGGAACCCCCTGCCCCACAGCCCTCAGCCAGCACCTGACCCCTCTGCTCACCCCTGTCCAGGGACGGACAGGTCCCGGGCCTCTGCAGAAGCAGAAGGGAACACACACTGCTTTTCATTTCTGTTCCTTCGGCATCAGTTTATCCGGGTGGAGAGCGTGGACATGTGTGCATTTTGTGGAAGAGAGATGAGTGTTGCTTTATTCTTTTTTTTTTTTTTTTGGTAATTGTATCACTCTCAGCACTGAAATCCTTTAAAATTACATTTTTTTTTTCCTCTTGAATTAACATTCATCTCCCAGGGGTCTCACCTCACGCATCCATGCAGAAAATCAACCCCAGACCCTTCTTTCTGTGGGTGTAGAGGTCAAATGGTTCTGTATTGCAATACCTGATGAGGGGCTACATTAAGCCAGAGTCACCTTTTTAAAGCCCAGAGCAAACGTGTGTGGTGGAGAGCACCGATTCTGTAAACAGATTTCTCCCTTCCTACAGAATCTGGGGTCCAGAGATAATGGCATTAGCATTTTGCCAGCACTTTACAATTATTAGGCCAGAACCTGTGGTTGCATAAGCTTCTCTCAGCAAGTTCATCAGGCATTTTTAAGAGGGCTGTTTGAATTTTTAATGCGGTAGCTATTTGGTATGCTAATTTCATCAATTTAGTGTAGCCACCTCGGAAGGCGAATCCAAGAGCTCAGAAGAGTTAATCTTGCAAAGGAATTAATTCCAGTGATGGGGTTATTGATTTCCTTACAGAGCTGCACCCACTTCTTACTGTAATTCACCTGTCAGCTCTGAGCGGTGAGCTGTTCTCGGATTCCAACAGCAATTGTAGAAGGGGGTAGGATCGGGAAGGTTGGTTTCCATGCTTGCGTGATGATAGTGAGGCCACTCTTTTAAAAGTACATCATTTCCTGGCCACAAACAAAGGCTTTCGAGGCAGCAGATCTGGATTTGAATCCGCTTCCAAGCTGTGCCTCCTTTTTTCCTCTCTCTAAAGAGGAGATGCCAGTGGTGTTTATTTCATCTGAGTGTTGTGAGGGTCAAGTCCGCTGATGAATGCAACAAGCTTTTAGGTACCATTGGCTGGCGGGGGCAGTGCTGCAGGGACCCCCCGGAACTGGCCGTGTAGGGAGGGGCTGGTGTGGGGGTCGCGGTGGTGCCAGCAGCCGCAGTGCTCACCGCGTCACCGGCTGGACATCCCCTGTCCCAGGCATGCGGGGCCGGCTGCTTTGAATAAGCTCTTATCTTCACAGAAGTGCTGGAGGTTACAACTGGTGGAATAATCTACACTCCTGGTGTGGACACTGAAGTCCGGAGACATCGAGTAACTTGAACAGGGTCACAGACTCGGCACATGGTGGGGCTAGAATTAAAGTCCAGTTCTGTCTGAGTCCAGAGCTTGGACTCCTTACCCTACACGGGTGAACTCCCCAAAGCTAGGAGATGGTCCACTTCAGACTCGATGAGGGCTTTTGGCCAGAATTTCACCCTGGACGTGGTTTCCCAAGTCTTTTCAAAGCTGTAGCTGTGACCCTTGGACTTCACCTAGCTGGTCCGTCTACAGGAAGTGTTGTGGTTGAGGTTCCCGATTTGGGCTTCAACTGAGTGGGTCCATTTAATGACTCGCAAATTACTGTAAACTGAAAGTTAACTATGTGGTAGTCCTGAGAAAGCAGAGAAAGACTTTCGGGATTGAATAGATTACCAGTGCCGGATTGGAGTTCTAGCTTATTTTCTCTAAGACAGCAAGGCTGTGGTCTCATGCCACAGTGTCTCAGAACCTCCAGGCCTTCTTTCAGGGTTCAGAGTAGTTCAGATCTTCAGTGGGAAATGTGGGGAAGCAGCAGTCGCTGCCATAGAGGCAGAATCAGAAAGCCACGTGGCAGGGGGTCCGGGATCCAGCTCTGATTGTGTCCAGTGTCAGCTTAGCCCCCTGTGTTTATCCTTGTAGTGTTTTCCCATCCCAGAAGTGGGTTTTGATCCTGGGAATCATAGGCTTGCAGGTCACCACCAAGGTCTTTATGGGCAGCGCTCAAATGAACCCTTCCCCGAGACTGGTTCGGATGCCCCTGCTAGAACCCTCCCGTGCCCTCACAGCGTGGCTGGCTGGCCTGACGCGGTCAGACTTCGGATTCCGGACAGTGGAGCTCATCCAAGTGCTGGGCCTGCCGTGATGGACCAGTGCCTGTTTTCACTGCTTGAGAGCCATCTTCCAAAGTGAGAACGCTTTAGAGCCCAGTGCTGATCTTGGATCGGGAATGATTATGAGTGATCCAGGATCACTTGTCTGAGCAGATTCTCAGTGAGCATAACTTAAACGTGACTCTAATAAAATAAGACTAGAGATTAACACCCCTGACGTGGATCAAGTTGTTCTGTGCCATCACCCTTCTAAACCCCTTACGTACGTGGAATCTGCGTGGAAACCCCGCGCGATAGAGGTGTTGTCTTAGCACCCACCTTGTCAAGGAAGATCAGCCAGGGTGGACAGGTTGGAGGGCGTAGCTTTTGCAGGAACCCTTTTGGGCTGTGTCTTTGAAAGCCCCCCACGAGCCTCCTTCTCGCTCTTCTAGAAGGAACAGTGCGCGCTCAGATCCTGAAGGAGGGGCGGGGAATGGTACAACAGGAGGGTATTCAGAGTTGCAGAATAGTGCAATTCAAGATAAAATGGTTGTCCTCCCAAATCTTTTTCTCAACTTCCTGGAAACCATCCTCACATTTGCTTAGCGGGGTCCTTTGGTCTGTCGGCAGCCCTCAAAACCGGACACGGGATCTCTCCATCTTTTGTACCTGTCGGCTTGGGCCCCCTCTTCTTCCCCACCCCCTTGGGGTCTGTCGCTGACTGTGTTAGTAAGTAGCCCCCACCCTTAGCATGTGCTAAGGACTTAGCACAGAGGTGGCGCCACGCAGGGGGGATGTCCCCATCCCTTGAGGTCCATGGCACCACCGGTAGGTGCCTGCTTATCTTCCCCTCCCCCAGCCTCACGCCCACCCTTTGTACGTCCTCACAAGAGCTCTGGAACAGGCAGGAGACCTCTTCATGGCTGTAGTGCAGAAAGACTGACGTGGTTCAGATTTCCCCTCCGAGACTGGAGCTCGCATGTTTTCATATTTATCTCATACTGTAATTTATTTATATTCATTCTTATACTAATTAAGACAGGAAAGGTTGTTTTGTTCCATGCGTCATGTTGTGTGGAGCCCCCATGGTCCCCTCCCCCGTGTTTATAGTTGCTGCCGTTCCACAAAGGACGTCTGACCCTCTTGGCTGAGCTGTTACCATTTTGTAAGGTGGGCGTGTTCTGATAACTCTGTGTGCACTTTCTTCTCCCTAGTGGCACCCATGGGTACATGGCCCCCGAGGTGCTGCAGAAGGGGACAGCGTATGACAGCAGTGCCGACTGGTTCTCCCTGGGTTGCATGCTTTTCAAGCTTCTGCGAGGGTGAGTGAAATGCATCCTCTGTTACTGTCGCCGTGGTATGTCCTCGGATCAGAACCCAGACCAGTTAGACATTGTTAGGCTCTAACACCATTTTAGATCACACAGTGCTAACCTAGATGATGACCAGGGCCTGTTCCGCCTTATAAAAGCGAGAGCTTTGCTCCCATAAACTTTTAGGCAAAAGCTTACAGTTTCGTATTTTTGTTCCATACCTTGTAGGAATGTCAACACATTTAAGCCTAAAAGAAGACTGCTTTGAAGTGGTCCCAGGGATAAGCCTTATTTGGGGCCTGAGAGTTATTTTAAAATGTGAATAATTGAAGAAGGTACGATAATCTTTTTCGTTAGGAATCAGTTCCTCATGATCGTCTTGCCAACGTTAAGCATTTTGAGGGTCACAAGAAAGGACCAAGACCCAAAGTGAACCGATTTTAAAAGCGTGCATGTATTCAGAAGCATGCTGAAGTTAATTTGCTTTTTGTAAAAGACAAAAATGAAACTGTGTAATTTTGTGTTTTTAATTAATTGGTGTTAGTTCTCAACCACCAAAGATGGTGAAATAGAGCGGAAGGAGTAGGGTATGAAAGCACTGTCAAAAATATGTCCCCGTGTTGAGCACAAGGATTATGTTAACATTTTTCCATTAATTTTTAAGAATTTTCAGCCAACCGGAATGGAAATCTTAAGTTTCGAAAATATGTTTTTGGTCATCCTCATCCACAAGGACACAAAAAGCACTTTATGTTAACATTTCCTGGTCAAGACCCTCCTTCTCCTATTTCTGCTGTGAACACGACAGGTCTGGTCGTTTGCTGAGCTTTTCACATTTCCACTGGGAAGCCTTGTTGAGCACTGCCACATCCTCTTACCATAATTAGCACCCTTGGCAAAGGGGCTGGACTCCATGTTTCCCCCAGATTAGGTTCCCAGCACTCTTGCTGCTTCCCCAGGACCCTGGTAATCTAGTTGTTCTCTGCTCACCGTTTTCACTGGGGAACCAAAATTGTATTACTGCCCAGAGAGCCAGGTCCTGTTGGTCCTTAACTGAATTACTGTATATGTGGAGCCTGGATGGCCCTAATTCACATCATCAGACTCGCTGACCTAATTAGAGAGTTTCTGCAAGACAGGCCAGAGAAAACCACTTCCCACACAAGCCATCCTTCCACCCGGTGGAGTCTCTGTATGCAAGGTTAGCGCGCGAAGACACACGTTGGGTCTTTGTCTGGGCCCCCACTGGAGATGGGGTGGGAGGTACAGAATCCACACCCCCGGAATTTTGAGACAGTAAAATTCCATGCAACAGTGAAACCGTTGACTACATCAAGTCAAGACTGAAAAATCAATAGTAAAATGTCACAAGGAAACCTGCCAAGCCGTGTATTTAGGGCTTGGTCCATGTCTTTGTTTCGTTTGATACTAGTCTGTTTATAATAATGTCCACGCATATAGATTGGGGATGATCTGGCATGACACTGTTTTTGAAAGACCTGAAAATGTAATTATTAATGATACACCAGTAGTGTGATTTTTTTGTGGTTAATAAAGTGAATCCAGCCATATCTGGCCACAGGTCAGGTTCAGAGTGCTGAATTGGGCGGGATTCATTCCTCATGGGTCCTCGAGCGGGCTCAGGGGAAACGCTGTGTTCACTGCGGCTCCCATCAAGAGGAGTCTTGGCCGACAGGAGGACATCCAGAGCTGCGGCTCCCATCAAGAGGAGTCTTGGCCGACAGGAGGACATCCGGAGGGTGTTCCTGAGGATGGGATGAACGGGACAAGGGGAAAATGGGGAAAGATCTAGAAACCATGGCTCTTACGGAAAGTTGGAAGAGCTGGGTACAAGGCTTAGGGGAACCCTAATGATTGGCTCCCTGCTGGCCGAGGATCCGTCTTCTCGAAGGGGTTATATTCATGCTGCACCGCTCCCAAGAGCAGGCATTTTAAGGAGGGGAAAGATGTCAGCTTGACACAACAGTGCCCACTCAAGCATTTGAAGGAGTGTTGTGCATCACAGGTAGCGAGGTCCCCGTCACTGTCTAGGGACCATCTATTGAGCTGGCATGCAAAGAAACCTTCCAGTGTGTAATAGATGGGACTAGATGAACCTTTCCCACTAAGATTTATGATTTTATGCCATTCTCTGCCTTGCTTGTCCAGAAGCCATTCACAGGAAAGGAGAGAGCATGGAAACCAAAGGGCAGGGAGATGTTTTTTGACTTAAGTGATTTAGAGTAAACTTGGTAAGCATTTATTGAGCACCTACAATATGCAGGAGACTCTGCTTCATGCTCTGGGGAGAGGAAGAAAGAGAGGCGGCGGGGGTGGGTGGGGTGGGTAGGAAGCCACATCCAGTCCTTAAGGAGCTCACAGGAAAGTAGAGATGTCCACACACATGAGCAAGGTGGACTGCAGTATCCTGGGGGGCAGAGAAATGGGTCCCAGGGCTGACCTGGGAGAGCAGGGCAGACTCCATGCAGGGGATGCTCTGTGAAGGGGGCCTGGAAAGGGTTGGCGATTCCAAGACTGGGGCAAAGTGAACATGTTTTCCTGCGGGGAGCAGAAAATATAGGACAGCTTGCCTTTCCCCAGTGGTGACCTGGGCAGGGAGGGTGTGCTGGGGGAGAAGGTCGAGGAGGCGGGGTCAAGAAGGGAAAGCCTAGAACGCCATGCGGGGGCTGGGGGCTCCAGAGACTGGAGGCTTTTATGCAAAGGAGAGACATGACTGGGTGTTCGTCAGAAGAAGGTGCTCATAGCAGCATGCATGTGGCACTGGATGGAGATGGGGGACAGGTGTGGGGACCCAGGCGAAAGGCCAGGACCTGCGGGCCTGGGACCAGGAAGGAGGCAAGTGGCTAAATGATGTTGCTATGCTGATCGATGGTTGCTCAGATATGGAAGCTAGGAAGCTAAGGGGTGCTGCTTAGCAATGCCTGTAGTCTTTTTTGTTGTCACAGCTTTGGAAAGGGCTACTTCTGACATCTGTTAGGTGAAGGCGAAGGATGCTGCTGAACATCTTACAATGCACAGGACGGGCCCTGCTGCCCCCAACAAAACATTGCCCTGCCCAAAAGGTCAGCAGTGCCCAGGCAGAGCGTGTCCCTTCCTTCCTTCCCACAGTGGCGTAGTGCGCTTGAACAGGGGGTCACCAGCAGGTCTTTTTCGCTTCTCTTGTCTTCAGTTGAATGCTTCTTCCACGGACCAGTGTGTCCCACCGCCTCTGCTGAAACCCTTGTCCGCACTCCTCACGCACCCTCGCTTTGCCTTGCCACCGTAGAAAAACACCGCGGAGGCACGAAGGAAACGAGTCTGGGTGTGAGCAGCGCAAGCTGTCCAGGCTTGAGATTGCGTTCTGCCTCCCCGGACTCACAGGGATGGACCGGGTATTGAAGGTTTCCGTGTTGCGCATGTGTGCGATTGCTGTCCTGATCCTCAATCTAGATTTCAGATGTTTGTCGAGGAAAAGAATTGATGTGACAGTAGCTTTGATCCTAACCTCGTCCCCTCCGATGGTCGGTCCCCAGAGGTGTCAGATGCAGGGAGAGAGCCTGGCTGGTGGTCTGGGGACCGCTGAGCTCTGCCCAAGGTTACTGAGTTTGTTCCTGTAGGGGGAAAAGGAATGTTTATAAATATTTTGGCAGCTGTTGGCTTAGGTTCAAAATTTGATGTAACATGTCATCCTTTTGGTATTCGAAAATTAAATTTTGACATAAGAGTTTTGAATGTAACATGTCATCCTTTTGGTATTCGAAAATTAAATTTTGACATAAGAGTTTTGAATCACTTATAAACGTAGTCTCTTGAACTCATCGTTCCGCTGTGAACGGGATCTGCCATATTTGATGTAACATGTCATCCTTTTGGTATTCGAAAATTAAATTTTGACGTAAGAGTTTTGAATCACTCTTATAAACGTAGTCTCTTGAACTCATCGTTCCGCTGTGAACGGGATCTGCCACGTGCGCGCGCGCACGCGTGTGTGTTTTCCCATCACTTCTCACATCTTGAACGATTTCCCCACCCGTTCGGGGGAAATGTACAGTGCGCCCTCCCGGTCTGTACGAAAGCCGCATCTGCCCGCCGCACATGTGAACTGTGTTCCCGCGGCGCCCAGCCACGAGCCGGAGAGCCGCCCGAGAGCCGCCCGAGAGCCGCGCGCGCGCGCTGCTGGGAGAGCCGCCGGAGAGCAGCCCGAGAGCCGCCGGAGAGCCGCGCGCGCTGCTGGGAGAAGTCAGCCGCGCCGCAAGCTGTGGGCAGGCCCCAAACTGTGTCCTATTTAAAGCGGCCGCACCGGGGCGCAGCGGCAGCCTCACAGGGTCCGGGAGCAAGCACCACGTGCCTCCCTCCGAGCGGAGATTATTACTGTCGGAGGGTTTCTTTAACAGTTTCCAAAATAGAAACGGAGTCTTTGTTTTTGTTCACAAAGAATAAGACTGCATTGGAAACATGTGCATCAAGATGTCGAACTTGAAAGCGCAGGCGTGTCCGCGGCGCGGCCCAGAGCCGAATCGCTGAAAAGCCTTTCCGACTGTTGCCTAACGGAGTCGGCCGCGGAATAGCGGGCTTGGTAGTGACAGGGTTCACGTGCTGGAAATGTTTTTGGCACCCCCCCCCGCCCCCCGGCTCCAACTCCACTCCCCCTTGCGAGCCTCCCTCCGCCCCCCCCCAAGACTTTGTACATTTAGCACAGAGCACTTCTGTCAGAACACAGCGGTCCTCCGCTGCAAGGGTCAGGGCACAGCGCTTTCCTTCCGGCGGCAGTCGCAGCAAGTCCGCGGGGGTCAAGAGCAGGAGCGGGGTCCCCGCGGCGTCGCGCTCAGGAGCCAAACCAGCAGGGCTTGTCCCCGCGCCGGGAGATCTGCGCACAACCGCTTGGTGTGCGTTCAGGGACCGCGTGGAGCGGAGACGGCCGGGTCGGCAGAGACTAAAGTTTTATAAGATTTCATAAACTTTCATTCTTTTTCTCTCGAACCACGAACATGTGAATATCTCCGCGTCTTTTGCATCTGAGGATGATACAAGGAATGGTTTTTAAAATAATAATATCTTGGGCGCCTGGGTGGCTCAGTTGGTTAAGCAACTGCCTTCGGCTCAGGTCATGATCCTGGAGTCCCGGGATCGAGTCCCACGTTGGGCTCCCTGCTCAGCAGGGAGTCTGCTTCTCCCTCTGACCGTCTTCCCTCTCATGCTCTCTGTCTCTCATTCACTCTCGCTCAAATAAATAAATAAAATCTTTAAAAAAATAAAATAAAATAAAATGATAATATCTTATAAATCAGCAAACATATTAAAAAAAGTTCTATCCGATTTGCTTTTTAAATGCAGTAATTGTACATTTTTCTTTTTAAGAAACAATTAGAGTGAACAGAACATTTCCAATCAAAATCTAGTTTAAAGATTAGTGCATGTTTGCTTGGCACTCATTCACCTTGTTTTAGAGTTTATTTTTCAAATTACTGCTTTCAAGAGATGGAAATTACTCTTTATTTCATTGCATGGCAAGAAGGAAAATAAAGCATTAGAGTGCCCTCTCTTGTACAGAATGAACATGAAAATATTTAAAATAATCAAGGCTCTGAAATGTAATAATCCCTTCCCAGAGATGTTTCAGTGCATCCCTTCACTAATTCAGTAGGATGGTCAGAGCGGGAGCAGTAAGTAGTACAAGCATGAGTTCTCTTTTCTGAATCACATTCATTTATGTGTTCAGTTCTCCAACCCACTTTATAGATAGAGTATCTTGCCTGCGATGATGTTATATACGCCTTAGAAGTTAAACTAGGATTCACCATTTTTTAGGCACATCTTGCTATAAGAAAACTCAGTCATGTACATATATCCTTTCTTTAATTTTCAAATTAAATAAGACCAGGATTTTGTAATTGGCATGGGTACTAGTCTGTTTTAATAAGATTTCCTTTAAAAGCCAGCTTCTCCAGGGTTTTAACAATAGGGTTAAGAATAGGAATAACTTATTAATTTCTCGAATGATTACTGTATCACATACCTGTTGTACACCACTGTGGTCTTGGCGGCGACCAGCATACATGGTGTCTGTCTGTTCCCTTTGTCATTTCTGTGAAGTAGGGGGTCTTGTGCCCATCGATAGATGAGGAAATCGAGACTGACGGTTTCCGTGACTGGCCTGCAGCCAGTAAACACCCCTGTCACAACCTTGAACGCAGGTCTGCTGACTCCTACATTTGGGGCTCTCCATAAGTAAAACAGGGGAAAGCAGTTCTCAGAACTGGAGGGCCTGGAGGACACAGGGTTCATTTATGTCTGTTATCATCAAAGGAAGGTATCACCTAGTTACCAGTGGGGGAGGCGTGTTCATCTTGGTTGTGTTTTGGTTGCACCGCAGTTCTTTGGGTTGTTTAAGAAACTAATATCCATTTTTCTAAAAAAAAAAAAAAAAAAAAATTGTATGAAAGTCATTATCTCAAACACTAACGTAAAAAAAAAAAAAAAAAAGTCCTTCATTTTCATGACTACCGGCTGGCTGATTGTTTTCTTTTTAAGGATATTTTAAAATATCACTGGGAATATATTTGCTGAAGCATATTTTAGTACCATGATTTCACTGACGTGAGGATCAGACAGTTCGAGTGAGCATAAGCACCCCCCCTCCCTCAGATACTAATGTACCCTAACACCAGCCTTTCTCTGGACACGGTAAATGTGTACGGCTTTTGTATTTCTATAGTTTTGGATGAACAGTAACAGAATACGGTAGAGTACTCAGATATGAGCCAGGGACATGCGCAAAGTGACCTGATACCACATTGTCACAGGATGCTGTTCATTTCCACAGGCACAGCCCTTTCAGACAACACAAAACCAAAGACAAGCATGAGATAGACCGAATGACCCTCACCGTGGTAAGGAGATTGAAAACTCTGTGCTTTGGTGGGTTTTTTTTTTTTAAGATTTTTTTTTCTTTTATTTTTTTTAGTAATCTCTACCCACAACATGGGACTCGAACCTACAACCCCAAGATCAAGAGTCACATGCCCCACCGACTTAGCCAGCCAGGCGCCCCTAAAAACTCTATTCTTACTTGCATTATAATTTTCACATCTCATTCCATTAACAACCAGTGTAAAAATTTGCTTTCTTAAAAACAAATGAGTGGAGATACAGTTCCTAGAATTCCTAACTGGCAGTTTAGTGGAAATAGATGCCAAGGCAGAAATCAAGGTTTGTCACCCGTCAGTAAGAAAGAGATCCAGAAAATCAAAAACTAAAGTAAGGAGATCAAAGAAAAGGAAAAATCGCTGAGGCGCAGAAGAGTAGGGAGACCTGTTTTTCTGGACCTGGCCCCAGCCTATTGATTGGCATTGAAAATGACTAGTAATCTGGGTTGCCTGGCTGGCTCAGTCGGTGGAGCGTGCAACTTGATCTTGGGGTTGTGAATTCGAGCCCCACGTTGGGCAAAGAGATTACTTAAAAGAAAAAAGGAAAGTGACTAGTACAGTTTCACGTTTCTTTAGAGTAAATATTAATTCACGATGAATCTGCAGTTTTTAACACTGTCCTTTTCCAAGAAATGGCCTTTAGGCCTGGTTGGGCATCAGGGCCCTGTTTGCAAGAGGGCATCTTTGAAATCATGTTGTTTTTTCCTCCCCCAGAACGTGGAACTCCCAGAGGCCTTCTCGCCGGAACTGCGGTCCCTCCTAGAAGGCCTGCTCCAGAGAGATGCCAGTAAGCGGCTCGGCTGCCACGGAGGCGGGTAGGCTGTTATTTTAGCTCTTGAGGATCGTCACCCGGGGCACCTAACAGTTAGTTCCAGTACATCACAAATCATTCCTAGCCCCTAAAAATCTCCTATCTTGACCCGGGGGTCGGGGGGGTGGAAATCACATGGGAAATATGTGTGCTGTCCTTTGTGTTTTGTAATTAATGACTTGAAGGAGTCGCTAACTTCTTTTTTTTTTATAAAGATTTTATTTATTTATTCATGAGAGACAGAGGAGGAGATTTTTTTTTTGAGAGAGAGAGAGAGAGAGAGAGAGAAGCAGAGGGAGAAGCAGGCTCCCAAGGAGCAGGGAGCCCGATGCGGGACTCGATCCCAGGACCCTGGGATCATGACCTGAGCCGAAGGCAGATGCTTAACCATCTGAGCCACCCAGGCGCCCTAACTTTTTAACTTTAAAAAAATCGAGCATGTTGATGGTGGAAATGAATCCTGATATTTCGCAGTTCATTTGGTGAAGTTTTACTAATTAGGTTTGCAGTGATGGCAGTTCAATATCCTGATCAGGTTCTTACTGGTTTTCTCTCACGAGTAACTGGCAGGCTACTGTCTTATACTTGCTTTCTATCTGCTAGATACCGAGAATGCCTTCCTGTAATCCTCAAACTTGACTGATATTTTGACTGGATACAGAATTCTAAATCGATAATGATTTCCCCCCAGAACTTTGGAGATATATTGCTTTATTGTGTGCAATAAAGCTGGTGATGAAGCCCAGTTATCACTCCTCATGTCAGGCACTGATAGTTCCTTGTACTGTGGAGGCTCATTTTCTTGAGCTTGGGGAATACTGTTATTTTTTTTATTTGACAGTCCCTCTCCTCCATTTCCTTGGTTAGCTCGTAGAACTTTTTTTTGGTGGCTGTCGGATTTTCTAGAATGGTCATCAATGCTTCTGACCTTGTGTATTCCCTGTATTTTCGCTTTGATTCTGTTCTACTTTCTGTGGGCTTAAATCTCTAGTCCCTCCTTTGATTGCTTTTTAAAATCTTTAGCAGGCTTAATTTCTTCAAAACAGAACCTTTCAGAGGTTCCCCCCACGCCATTAGAATAAACACGTAGCTGCAGGCATTTTGGGGTTGGATATGGAGGAAGACAGTATGGTGTGTGCACGTGTGCACGTGCACGAAGAGTTCAGGCTGTCTTCAGCCCATGTGTCCCCCTCCCCCCTCCTGCACCCCACTCCACACACATGGCGTTGAGCCTGGAGCTCAGCATCTCTGTCCCCCAGCCAGTAGCTGTGCCATTTCCTGCCAGCAATCACGGCTCCTGCGTCCACACCCATCCTGTCTGCTGATGGTTCCCCATTCCTCTTTGTGGTGCATTTATGTCTCCGTGTTCCTCTTCCATCATTTCAGTGATTGTTGGAAAGGAACAAATGCAGAACACAAAGGGACACCCTTTGCTTTAGATTTCATTCGTTCGTTCAGTAAACACTTACTGAGCATGCCCTGAGTGTCAGCCACCGTCCTAACTGCTGGGGCTGAGGCAGTTACACACGGGTCGACACAGCCCTGCTGTCTTGGAGCTTATATTGGGTGGGGGTGAATGACATTATAGAAACGATCCAATAAGTAAGATGACCTCAGACCGAGAGAAGAGCATGAATGAGATAAATAAGGCAGTGTTGTCATTGAGACTCCAGCCTTGGGAGGAGAGAGGGAAGGACCCCAGGCAGAGGGGTCAGTGAGGGTAGGGCTTTGAGGGGGAATTAAGCTTCCACGATGCAGAAGAGCAAGAAGGCTGGAGAGCCAGGAGAGGGAGGTCAAGAGCAGGTCAGAGAGGTGGTGGGCTCAGGCAGGTCCTGTAGGCCGTGTCCCTGGACTTTGCTATAAGTGCAACAGGAGGCCTCTGGAGAATCTTGGGCAGGGGTGTAGGGAGATGGTTTGAAAAGATGATGTGGGCATGGCATGGGGCAGGTGGGGCTGTGGGCTGTGTGGCTGGGGGGCAGGCTGGGGCAGGGGTGCAGTTAGGGCCATTCAGGGAGCAGGGTGGGGACCTGGGTGGTGGCAGTGGTGGCGGGACATTTAGCATTACCTTCATGATCAAAGACCCTGCCGCCCCCACTGGGAATTGGATCTCGGTGAGAATTGGAGGCAGTAAGTCAGCCCAAGGACTTGCCGAGGGGTGGGCTGTGGAGTGTAGGGGTTAGTGGGGGCATCGGGGGTGATCTGGCTCTTTGGCCTTAGACAACTAAGTCTGGGAGTAATGCAGAAGTTCTACAGACCTCTTGCCCCATCAGGTGGAGATGCCGAGTAGGCGCTGGGTGGGTGGGCCTCCTGGTGTGCAGGGTGAGGTCGGCACTTGGGACACAGATCTGAGAGCTTGTCTGCAGGTACGGGTCACTTAAAGGCCTGGCAGAGTGAGGTTACCCAAGGAGTGATAGCAGAGGAAGGGGGCCGAGAACCAGCCCTTGGGGCTCTGCCGCAGGAGACAGGGCTGGGGGACCCGGGGCAGACTTGGGGCAGAGTCCCTGGCAGGCACAGCGACCATGCGCTTTCCCCCGGTAGGCTTTCCTCCTGGTATACAGCCCTTTCTCTTCCGCATAAACTGAGCTTTAAGGGTGGTCTCCAGGAAAACTTGTTTCTTCAATTTATGAGGAGGTTTGGCATACACTATGTTCCTAGATTTCTAGTTTGCTTCTGAATTAATATTTGGTACTTCATATGCCTACCGTTTGATCTAACATGCCTCATAGACATTTGCTGAACATCTCCTCAATGTGGAGATCTCTAATTTGCTTCTTATTTGAATTTGTTCTCCTGGCAACAGAATCCTGTGTATCTATCTGTCTGTGACAACTCCTAGGTTCTCTCAAACTGGAGTATGTGTCCCCGATAAATTACCATATGGGATAATATTCCTAGCTTCCGCATACAATATTTCTAAACATAACATCCAGTGTTTCCTGTGTTGCTTTGAAAGAAGCATATTTTACTTGCTTACTTAACTGAAAATGGTCGTTCCTCTGTTCTTACTAGGAGACAGTTTTTGGAAAATACTCCTTAGGTTTGCAAATGCGCCCTTACCACCTTTTGCCTCTTCCACAGGGCACAAGAAGTAAAGCAACACATCTTTTTCAAAGGCATCGACTGGCAGCAAGTCTACTTACAGAAGGTACTCTGTCTGGAACCCCACACTGGGCACCACCACCTCTATGCTCCCTCTTGTCCCCCACTTCCTGGGTCCACTCCCCAGGGCCCCAAGCCCCACCCCCCAGCTCTCCAGGCTGCCCTGTGAGTCCTTGTTCTTCTACCCATGGGCTGCCATTGCTGCCAACTCCCTCTGGGCTGACTTTTCTGTTTCCCTAGTTTAAAAGTTTTCAAAATATCTGCAGTGTACATTAATAAATACCGAAACGGAGTTGTTATCTAGTTCAAATGTCCCTATAACTGAGATGTTTTTAGCTTTCACTCATCTTTTTGACTTCCTGTCTCAATCAGTGACTGTATTTTCATAAAGACCTTTATAGAAATGTACGAGAAACATGGGTCACAAATTTACATATACTTTTTCTAACCCAGCACCATACAACTTAAGGATCGGTATGATTGGATAGCAACAGAATCCCTTCCCTTATTTTAAGATATTTCTTTATGTTCCCATGAGTACAGGAAAACACCCCAAATTAAAGGGTTTTTTTAAATGTGGATCAGCCTTGGATTCGTTTTTGCATCATCTCCCGCAGTGGAGGGATGATGCTCTGTTAGTCCCGCCCGCTGTGAACCAGAGTGGGCTCCAGCTTCTTTGGCGTCGGCTGGGCACCTCTGTGGGTGTGCAGTGCTCCCTCCCGCCTCCCCGCACATTAAGGCTCCAGCAAGTGCAGTGTGGTGCCCTGTTGTCTGAGACGTGGTGTTTTCCTAAAGTTGAGCTGGCGGGATGTGCTGTCTTGAGACTTCATTATATTCAATAATGCTTTAAGACCTTGGATGTGAATCTTTTTTTTTCCCCCTGAAGTTTCTCTAAAATCTGGGGTCTTCTTTTAGGGCTGTTCCATACCCAGGCTCATCTGTGAAAGATGTGCTGTGATGTGTAGGAGCTCGGCTGGAATGCTCAGCCTGCAGCACACTGGTACTCACAGTGTTCTCACTATAGAGCCATAGGTCGGGATGGGCCATAAGGTGATCTGATAACTGAAGCATGCTTCTTTGGATCTTCCAGTACCCTCCACCCTTGATTCCTCCCCGGGGAGAAGTCAATGCTGCTGACGCCTTTGACATTGGCTCATTTGATGAAGAGGATACCAAGGGCATCAAGGTACACATGTGATGTTCACCCTGGGTGTTTTGGAGGGTGGGGAGACTTTTTATTGGCTGTCAAACTGAGTCATTGTCTTAGCATTGGCCTGCTTGTAGAATGTAACTTACCAGTGAATACCTATATATTTGAAGAATGTAGAAGTCAAGGGCCTAAATTAGAAACGATAAAAGCTTTCTGTGGACTACTCATTTTATGTTTGACAAACTGGTAAGTGGTCAGTTTCTTACGGATTTGGATATATTTGTGATTGGAATAGAACCCGAACTTATATGAGGCAAAGAAAAAACAACTGTGTGACAGCAAACACACTTTGCCATGTGCCAAAGAGCCAGTCATCTTAATCCTTTTACGTATTCAGATCTCTCTGTGTTAGGATGAAAAGAGCAAACAGCATGAGTCATTTTGCATTTGTCAATCAAAAGTGAAATAATCACTGTGGTTTTTTTTTTAATATATAATTCTCTGCATTTTTCAAACTTCTGTTCATATCATTATGTTTCCCAGTAGACAAGGCATAATTACAGACGGTGAGTCATGAGGGAAAATCATCCTCCTCGGGCTGCTAAGTCAGAGTGTATCACTACATGCCGGGCTCACATCTGCCCCCCACCTTCTCAGCGTCCCCCAGGACCTCCCCATCCTTTCTCAGCTGCCTCATTATACCCTGGTTGTGTAAGCCCCCCCTCACTTTTCCTACCAGGCAGCTCCCCCTCCAGAAGCCTGCAGCACTGTAAGCACACACACCTGTGAGGAGCCGTGGCCAGGGACACACAGAACTGGAACCAGCGGGGCCTGGAGACAGAAGTGGTGGGTGAGCGGCTGGGGAGGAGGGAAGCTGCAGGAGACCAGGCGCACTGGGACTCGAGGAAGGGCAGCTGGTTGGAACTGGCAGTGTCAGGAAGGAGGGGCAATCGGGTTGCTCCCAGGACCAGCTTCCCAGGACGGGAAGCCGAGGCAAAGAGGAGGTGGAGAGGGCCAAGGCCACCTCTGTGGTCTGGCGCAGTGGCTCCCCCAGGGGCCGCGGTGCGTCCAGTGCTGAGATGTGCGCGCCTCCAGGTGTGGTTTGCAGCCTGGACAGACAGCCCGTGGCAGGTGTGTAAGTACTGCTGTGCAGCCCTGCTCTGGGCAAAGACCATTCACAACGTCGCTTGAAAGGATTACTGTTGTCACAATGGAGTTTTGTCAGCAGAGGTACTACCGTCCACGAAAGGGTGCTAAAAGTGAAGCGGCTGTGATGTGGGAGCCCACAGACATTTTTGATGTTAAAAAGAGATTTCTCATACTTTAAATTTTGTAAACCATAATCACGGCTCTGGAGTCAGACAGACCGGGCTCAAATCTGCCCTTATTTGCTGGGTGACTTCGGGTAACCTCTCGCGCCTTGGTTTTGTCACGTGTGACTGGTTTTGACGCCCAGATCTCTGTGAGGTAGAAGAGAGAGCCGCTTTAAGCCTCCTGGCATGTCATCCATGCTTAAGCTAGGAGGTTTTGTCAGTGTGGTTTTCATTCTTCGTGACCAAGAGCCGAGGATGAGCATGCTCAGAACAAGAAGGGGCGTGTGGCCAGGGGCCCAGTGGGAAATGAGAATCCTGGGACAGCCTTGTCCAGCTAGAGGGTCTGCATCTTAAGAAACCATGTATTCTTTACCTTTAAAAAAAGCAGCCCAAATTATACACTGTTCTTTAAAAAACAAGAACAAAAACAACAAAAAAGTGCACCTCAGATAAGTACAAATTTTCTTCTTTGTTTTATTCATTTTTTTTTTAAGATTTTATTTATTTATTTGAGAGAGAGAATGAGAGATAGCATGAGAGGGAAGAAGGTCAGAGGGAGAAGCAGACCCCCTGCCGAGCAGGAAGCCCGATGTGGGACTCGATCCCGGGACTCCAGGATCATGACCTGAGCCGAAGGCAGTCGCTTAACCAACTGAGCCACCCAGGCGCCCCTGTTTTATTCATTTTTAACAACTTTTGCTAAGTTCTAAAGAGTCAAGGCTCTCTGAAATTCTAGGAAGTAGAACGGTTTGTATACAAAGCAGAGTTGGCCCTTTCCGAGCAGCTGCTTTGGAAAGGAGTGTGTTTTTACTTTTGGCAAACCCTTCAGAATCCATCCCGGATCACAGGGTGACCCTGTGGCCTGGTGCACTAGCACCCCACCCTACCACACACACAAACAGACACACACATGCACATTCACGCGCCGCTGGGTACGCGCCCCCAGCATTCATGCTCTGAGCCACTGAGGATTTCAGCTCTGGGCTCAGCCTGGGCTTCTGAAGGAAGCCAAAAGAGGAAAGGAAGGCTCTGAGAATCAAAGCGATCCTAAAATCAACACATGATCATAACAGGTCACTAAGGGCAGTTGGAGAACCCTCCGTGTTTCATCAATTTGCTGAAGTCTTGAGGACAAGTGCCTCTTCTTGCTCTTTTTCTTGTAAATAACTTGCCTGTTCTAATTATCTATCCAGTACTTATCTCTCAGGCAAAGGAGCAAGCAAATCAAGTTTCTGAAGAGATCTGTGCTTTTGAATGACAGATGTGTTCCTTTCTTTCAGTGAGATCACTCACCTTTCTGCATGTAGCTCAGAGGCATAAAATCATTCTCTTTGCTCATTTTCAGAGTGTGGCCTCTAAGCTCAGGGGGAGGAATGGAGGATTTTGAGTAGTAGTTTGGAAGACAAATGCTATCATTAAGTGTAATTTTTACCCCAGTGCCTCTTAAAGGCGAAGCTGCCTAAACCCCCATGTCTCCTGAGCGCCGTGGTTGCGCATTTGATCGCGCTGTTACCCTGGGTTCGTGGAAGGTTGGAAGGTTCATGGAATGAATGGAAAATTCAGCCTCCTCTCCCTTCTTCTCATCTCACTTTTCAGATGAATCAAGGGTGGTGAGAAGACCCTCCTACTTTCTCCCTTTTAATTGTTTCTCAAAGTACAGGATATAATTTCCTACTTTGGCAAATAGAGTCTCCTCGCCATCCTTGACATTGTATTTTGTTGTTGGATCCTTTTGTACTTTAAATAAAGCCCTGTACGGGTTAGTTTTTCATTGGCGAAAATGTAATGAAGATGGTATGAGAGAACGGGCTGCATCTTCCCTGACGTGGGACTGGACGTGAGGTGCCGTCCGCGGGCGCATTGGCGGAGCCTGGCTGCTTGGTTATCAGTAGCCGACGTTTGTGACAGCGACCGAGCTGTCTCTGAAGGGTTGTGTGCCGTTGTCCTGTTACCTTCCCGCGTACGGTTAGGGTACTTCTGAATCTGTTGCCTTGCTAAGTTTGTTAAATCATAACTATCTTGATCTCTTAAAATAATAAGCTTCTTGATTGCGACCAAGATCTCTACAAGAACTTCCCCTTGCTGATCTCGGAGCGCTGGCAGCAGGAAGTGGCAGAAACAGTTTATGATGCAGTGAATGCGGACACGGATAAAATCGAGGCCAGAAAGAGAGCTAAAAATAAGCAGCTTGGACACGAAGAAGGTAAAATAGCCAGCGTGTCTCAAAATATTTTCAATGCAATGAATTTTTTTAAAAATGTCTTGTAAAGCCGGGAAAGTATTTGGGTCATAAAGTACTTTCCAGGGGTGGCAGGGGGGATGCCCTAACTAGTGGTATGTGGCTTGGAAAAGCTCAGTGTAATATTTCAAAGTCTTCAGTCAACATGTAAATTGAGGTGGTCAGCAGCAGTGTGTCAGTGTGTCCTCTGACCTCGGAGCATCTAGAGCCAGTTGGCAAGTGTCTTCCTTGAAGCTTGAACATTACCGTACCGGGAGCAGGCCCGGCTTCATGGGCATGTGACCTGGGCCACCTCCTAGGGCACCCCACTGGGTTCAGCGCTCGCTGTCACCGTCTTGACATTCTTAATCATGTTTGAACAAGGGGCCTGCATGTTCATTTTTCACTGGGCCCCCCAAAGTATGTGGTAGTTGGCTCTGGTGAGGAACTTAGCATGCGTGTCCCTTGTCCAGAGCTATAAATGGATAGAATGACATTTATTTTGCAAACAGCACTAAGGAATTGCCAGACCACATTTTTATTTACAACATGTGAGTGCCCTGTTGGGATTTCCAAAGTGGAGTGTGTAACATCCGGTGTTAAACCAGTCGGCCATTCTTGATTCACCAAATGTTGTCGCTCTCGATTTTCCTAAGATTTTAATGGATCTTGGATATTTAAATGTACTGTGGTTGAGGACGATGCTATCATTCACTTTACGTCTGGGCAAAGACTTTTCTGAGGTTAACGTTATATGATAAGAGTGACTGACCAGAACCAGTTCCTTTGTGAATAAGTTACTTGAATGGGGGCAGCTTGATGCAGGCTGGTTGGTCGTGCCTATCATTTCTCATTTCCCAGTAGCATTTATCACCTGCTCAGAAACGTGTGCCTGCGCCCGGGTGGCTTCCTCCTTACGTAAAAGCTGCCTGAGTACCCCAAGGGAACAGTGCGGCCCCGCAACTGTGCTCACCTCCATTCTGCAGGGAGAGGGGCTTCATTTCTAAGCTGTACCTTAGACAGCACGTCCATTGACATCACTCTGGACTGTTGGCTGTAGCAAATTTTACACGAGAAATTACTTTTTTACGTCAATGGTAGCTTGCTCCGGGGAGGGCCATGATGTCACTAGAATCTTGACAAATTGGACCTAGAAAAAAATAAGTATACCTTAATGACCTTACCGAAGCGTATCCTTTTAATTAGAGCTGCAGTTAGAGCATCTAGCAAGTTAATGAATTTATCTTCATGTTTAAATGATTGATTTGGACATCACTGGGCTCTTGGTTGAAGATCTCAGGAGTCACCTTACAGAACAATACAGTCTAGGCTTAGGTCTCTGAGGTAAACCTGCAAGGCTTCTACCTTCCATATACTTAAGCCGTGTAAACACTTTTGCATTAAAATGACAACTCTGGGGAGCCCACCCGATCACCTGTCCCCTCCCTCCTTGGTTCTTTTCCCTCCTGTATGCGGGACAGTGTGGGTATTGCTTATCTGTTTACTGTCTGGGTCTCCTATTAGAACATTAGCTCTCTGAGGGCGAGAGTTCTGTCTCTTGCCATGTAGCACTGCCAAATCCAGAGCGCCCAGAACATGCCCAACACCAGGCATTCCCTGAATAGCTGTGGAATGAATGAGAGAAGGAGTGAATAAATGATTTTTAGCACGGTGTCCAAAGCCTTTAAAGAAAGAAAGCAGAGGCATTCACTCAAAATTAACCTTAAAAAAAAAAAGAGAGACAGTACGTCACTCTAACAATATGATCGGGACTCAACATGAGTGCGAATTAGCTCAGTCTGTCTAGGTAACCATATATTTGAGGGATAAATATAGCCTTAAGGAATAAACAGTTTTGAGCCTTATGTTACCTTGGCTGCTTGGTAAGCCCCTTACTATTATTTATGGGATTGAGTGGAGAACCCCAGTCCCACATAAAGGCAAAGGTACTTTGGGCATAGCCTGAATTGAATTCCTCTCTACTCTCCAATTCTTGTTATTACACATAATGAAAAAATAGTTTGGGAACAAACCTCTGCCCTCTCTGAGTGATGAGGGAACATCACGGAATGTATCCGAATATTGAGAAACAGCCACTCAGTATGTTAGTGGAGACCTGTTCTTTCGATCCCCAGCTCACCTGGGTCTCAAAACTGAGGTAAGGATTTGCATAATGTCCTCCATTCATAGAAATTTGATTTTTCCAAAGAGTGTGTCATTCTTTTTTGTTTGTTTCTGAAAAGAACATAGACCATCTGTGTCCGAGCCCATTTAATTTGCGGTTATTTTACATTGCTCAGATTACGCTCTGGGAAAGGACTGTATCATGCACGGGTACATGCTGAAGCTGGGGAACCCGTTCCTGACTCAGTGGCAGCGTCGGTATTTTTACCTCTTTCCAAACAGACTTGAATGGAGAGGAGAGGGAGAGTCCCGGGTAAGTCCAGAGCGGCCCACCCAGCACGGACTTGCAGGGTCCTCAGTGTCACATGGCTCATTCGGATGGCTGGCGTGTCTTCTAAAATAGCCCGCTAAGCTCTGGATATCTATTTAAACTCATGCACATGAGATTTTGGTGTTCAAACTCTAACTTTTAAACTTAGAGTCAAAGAAGGATTTTGTAACATCTGAAAATAGAATGTGAGGTCAAAACAGGTTTGAAGGAGGCTGGAGAGTAGTCGGGGAGATCAAAAGAGATAAAAAAAAACAAAAAAACAAATCCAGGACATTGGAGTCAGACAGAGGCGATTGAATCCAGGACTCAGAGAAGAAGGTCTGGCGTCCACGACACAGCACGACAGTTGTGGGTCTGCCTGTGCTCAGTCTCCCCTTCACATGTCCCCCCTCCCCCCGGTCAGGCTCAAATGAAATGAGCTAAGTGATGCTGGGCCCAGAGCTGAGGTCGCCAAACACTTCCTTTGGTCTCCACTTTGTTGGAAAAGTTTAAGTAATGTCCATAGCATGGGCAGGAAGATACCACTGCCCCTCAGGTCCTTTCTCGAGGGCCAGTGTTTGTGAACAAGGTAAGAAGACATTTCGAATCCACACTGTCCCTCGAAGCCAGGCAGGTAGCCTTTATTCAGTACCTGCTGTGTGGGGAGTGGAGGGCTCATCCAGAGGTGGCCACCCAAGCAGAAGGCATACTTCTGCTCTTGGGGAGGGAATGGCTAGTCCTCTGGGGCCAAGGAAGCAGGGCAGTGGGTCCCAAATGTCAAAAACACAGTTGATGTCTTAGATGCGTCAGAATACTGCCCATCAGTTGTCCAGTGGTGAGAAGTGTAGAAAGTAATAACCTCTAATCTTGTTTGTTTGATTTTGGAATGTGTTTTTTAAATCCCATTGGTAAAGGGGCGCCTGGGTGGCTCAGTCGGTTAAGTGTCCAACTCTTGGTTTCGGCTCGGGGTCATGATCTCAGGGTCGTGGGATCGAGCCCCATGTCGGGCTTCACACTCAGTGCAGAGTCTCCTGTCCCCTCTGCTCCTTCCCCCCCACTTGCATGCTCTCTCTCTCTCTCAAATAAGTAAATAAAATCCTTGAAAATAAATAAATAAAAATAATAAATCCCCATTGGTAAAGTTGCTATTTAATTATGAGTGATTGCTACTGCACAGCACATTCTTTTCAGATAAATAAGACTTCTCACCATTGCTAGTGCCATGGGAGTCATTTCCTCAAACTAATGCATCTAGGCTCTGAATTGCTATTAATAAGTCTCTTTGGGGATCCTGAGTTGTAACTCAGGGGCTGGTATTATATAATATAATGTGTAATATTATATAATATATATTGTATTTTATAAATATATGAACTCAACACACAAATTATAATCCATATATATTATTATTATAGAATATATAATATTTCCAGGGCGCCTGGGTGGCTCAGTTGGTTGAGCGACTGCGTTCGGCTCGGGTCATGATCCCGGAGTCCTGGGATTGAGTCCCACGTTGGGCTCCTGGCTCAGCGGGGAGCCTGCTTCTCCCTCTGACCTTCTCCCCTCTCATGCTGTTTCTCTCTCTCTCTCTCTCAAATAAATAAAATCTTTAAAAAAAAAAAAAGAATATATAATATTTCCAGATAATAAGTGTCCCTGGGCATAAAAAAAAAAAAAAGTTGACCCTTAAACAACACGGAGGTCAGGGGTGTTGGCCCCTCATGCACTCGAAAACCTATGTGTAACTTTTGACTCCCCCACAAAACTTGACTGCTGATAGCCTACTGTTGACCAGAAGGCTGACTGATAAACAGTGGGTTAACACAGAATTTGCATGTGACATGACTTATATACTGTATTTTTACAGTAGAGTAACTAGAGAAAAGAAAATGTTATTAAGAAAATCACAAGGAAGAGGGGCACCTGGGCGGCTCAGTCGTTAAGCATCTGTCTTCGGCTCAGGTCATGATCCCGGGGTCCTGGGGTCAAGCCCCACACCGCGCTCCCTGCTCCACGGGGGGCCTGCTTCTCCCTCTCCCACTCCCCCTGCTTGTGTTCCCTCTCTCACTGTTTCTCTCTCTGTCAAATAAATAAATAAAATCTTAAAAAAAAAAAAAAAAGAAGTGGAACCACACAGTTCAAACCCATGTTGTCCCAGGGCCAATTTTAGTCTGCTGTCTACTGGACAGTCACCGTGGTGTGCGTTGAAAGGAAGTTAATCTCGCTTTTCAGGGTATTTGAAAACTTAGAAAATCTTCCTTTTTTTTAAACATCGGATGCAGTAAGGTAGCTTGTTTTTTTTTTTTTTTAAGTTTTTTTTTATTTATTTGACAGAGAGACAGTGAGAACACAAGCAGAGGGAGTGGGAGAGGGAGAAGCAGGTCTCCCACCGAGCAGAGAGCCCAGTGCAGGGCTCTATCCCAGGACCCTGGGATCATGACCTGAGCCGAAGGCAGACGCCCAACGACTGAGCCACCCAGGCGCCCTGGTAGCTTGGTTTTAAAAGTCAGCATTCGATGTTCTGTTTGAGAGCTGCCTAGTGTATATGGATGGATGGATGGATTCATAGGTATGAATCAGGAAACAGAAAAATGAGCATTTATGATGGTGGTGCTTTTCATTTAGGAGTCCTAGAGTATCCAAAAAAACATGAAATGGTAAGGTACTCACGACACTATAGCGTTCACCACAAGCAAAAAAATTCTAGACCTGGTGTGACCATCTTTGAAGGATGTCGCCTGTATTTATAACATCCTTTTGATATCATCCTTTCGAAATATCCTTAGCTCTCCAGCCAACATTGCCAGACCTTTCCCGAGCTGCCGTGTCAGGCACTCGGTCGCACCCCATTGGCTCATGTACATCGTACAGCACTTCGCTGTTTCCTCCCAACTCGGTCGATAGCACTCAGGGGAGCGTGCGACACAGAAGAGACACGTGCAAGTCACAACCATTCACAAATGGATTCTATGTCGAGGGAACAGCTGTGCTGTTGTCTTACAGAGACAGTCCGTCCTTCGCCGTTTCCTTCAGATGCCATCATTTGAATTCTCTGCACGTCCCTTCCTAGCCATTCCCCCACTCTTCTAGAACATCATCAAAGAAAGGGAAAGGCTGATTTTTTTTTTTAACTTTTCCTAAGCTGATAGTTTTCTGGATTATTTATTACTTCAACTTAGGAAATCGGGAGATAATGTGAAGTAATGTATCATTTTTTTTTTTTTTTATGGCTAGCAAAATTTACTGACAATGGAACAGATTCTGTCTGTGGAAGAAACTCAGATTAAAGACAAAAAGTGCATTTTGTTGAGGATAAAAGGAGGCAAGCAATTTGTCTTGCAATGTGAGGTGAGTTTTTCAGGTTTTTAAAACACTTTTTCCCCATAAGCGAAAGTTCGAGCAACTGTGTGTGTCTTCCGCAAACACAGCTGCCTGGGTATGGAGCAGCTTCTTGAATCCATGCTTTGTCGCTTAGGTAGCAGGAAAGCCCCAGGGCACAAGGGTCTCAGCAAATTAACCGTTACTGTTACAGGATCAAACGTCAGAAAATGGCAGGAGAGGAGGTACGTGGAATAATCTGACTGCCCTATCTGGGAACTCTGATCAGTATTCAGTAGGGGCCTGTTAGCTAGTCTCCCAGTTCTTCTCTTTCAACATGTTCGAGGTTGGGGCTTGCATGTCTAAATAAATAAACACAAGATACCAAAGTGACTTCTCTCAGGGGACATGCCATCTTTCTGTCTCCAAAGTTCTATTGTAGCCCAAATTTAATTCCTCCGGGATACTGGTGTGTGTGTGTGTGTGTGTGTGTGTGTGTGTGTATAGGGTGTGTGTGTGTATGTGTGTGTGTGTGTGTGTGTGTGTGTGTGTGTGTGGGTGTGGGTGTGTATAGGATGTGTCTGTGTCCATGTGGGTGGGGATATGTAGGGTGTGGGTGTGTATAGGATGTGTGTGTGTCCATGTGGGTGGGGGTGTGTGTGTAGGGTGTGGGTGTGCATGTGGGTGAGGGGAGTATGTGTGTGGGGGGCATGTGGATGTGCATGGGTGTGTGTGTATAGGATGTGTGTGTGTCCATGTGGGTGGGGGTTTGTATAAGGGTGTGGGTGACATGGGTGAGGGGGGAGTGTGTGTGGGTGTGTGTGCACGCATGCATATTTAGAGAGACAGACCAGTAGTAGATAACCAAGATGTGTCTTTAATAAGCATCCCTCCATTGCACACGTGAGGTGCTTGCTCATCAGCCAGAACTCCTCCTTAGGCATTACTGTATAGACTTGAGCTGTTTTAGAAATCAGAAATCGGAGGTGATCTCTGTACGAATCACAGGCAGTGCTTCTCAGGGTGGGGCTCAGAGGGTCCCCTGAAGGGCTTGCCAGCCTGGCCCTGCTCCCCGCGTGGCCCACAGTTCAGCGGAGCGCTGCGTGCTCGAAAGCAGCGTGGTGTGGTCATTACCAGAGGCACCACATCTGGCCAGCCAGGCGTGCCCGTTGCAACTTCTCCCTTTGTGTTTCCGTGCAGAGCGACCCTGAGTTTGTGCAGTGGAAGAAGGAGCTGACCGAGACATTTATGGAGGCTCAGCGACTCCTGCGCCGCGCCCCCAAGTTCCTCAACAAGTCCCGGTCCAGTGTGGTTGAGCTCTCCAAGCCTCCCCTCTGTCACAGGAACAGCAATGGCCTCTGACGCCCAGGACAGGAGGGTCCTGGGGAGACGGGGCCTCGAGGAAGCCCGTACCGGGGGTTTTCCGCCCTTGAGAGGGAGTCTTTTGGAGAAATCCGGGGGTCAGAGGTTCGGTCCACTTGTCCCTGGGGCCCTTCCACGGCTGGGAGGACCCAGGACGCCAAGGTGCTCCTAATAGGAGCTGTGACCGTGGTCCGGCCCGGGTCGGCCTCCCTGCCCTTCTGAGTGCCTCCTGCGCATGACATCTGTCCACGCTCAAAACTACTGAAGAAACAAACGGAAGTTCTTTCCCTTTCTTACACCCCCATTTGGGTAGACGTGAACCTAGAACTTGAAATGATTCCTCCTTATCACTTCAGTTTGTATGTCTGATAGCGAACATATCTTAGACTTGCCAAGATGGAGTGCAGCCCTCTGCGGCAGCGGGTGCCAGATGGCCAGAGCGCTGCCCTGTGTCCTCTGCTGGGCTCACACGTGTCCGCTCCGCGCTCCTGGGGGACGGGAGGTCAGCACGCGTTTCTGCCGTGCACTTCAGCACCGACCGACTTCTTGATGTCCCGCCTGGCGAGCTGAAGATGCTTTCTGAGAAGCTTGCCCTTCCCGCCAAGTGTGCGGCACCACCCAGGTACCCGCCTGCCTCTGACAGGGAACAGAGGGAGCGTGCCCTCAGAGGACTTGGGAGTCGCTCATGACTGACGGCGTTCAACAGTGGACCACTGGAAGGCTTCACAGGGATTCCAAAGGACAGGCAGTGGGGTTTTAACTTTCAGGGCAACAGTGATTTTCAAAAATCTTCAAATAAACAAATCGCACTTTCACGTGTCTGGGTGCGCACGGACGCTTGGGGGTGAGTCCGTCTTGGGCTCCAACAATAAGCAGTTATAGGACAGGGTCATTCTGGTTCCTTCTGCCTACCCTCGGAACACATATCCGTAATGGATGTGTCAAGGAAGGAAAGAATTCCTCTGTTTCACGTTGTAGTATAATTTAAAATGAATTTTATTGACAAAAGAATGCTGAAGAATGAATGTGTTGAAATGAGTTAACTGTGTTTGTTGACTTCCGTGTCATCCTTCACCCGTCAGTAGTGAGTGGTACGTGGCCCCGGGTGGGTCGTCCCACGCTGTGACAGCAGTGGGACGGGAAGGCCTGTTGCCTAATCCTGGGGGCGTCTCTTCTCCCCACGGTTCTCCCACGATGCGTTCTGTGCCCTTTTCACACCCCAAATAAATGCTGGGCTGTGCTGGGCTATATGAACCAGTGTGTTTCCCAGTGAAGTCCTGTCACCAGACTGAAAATAATATTAATTTTTAAAGTCCTCATATTTGTCTTATTCTTAGTGCAATCTTGTTGTGTGTTTCTAAGTTAACTACTAACAATATAAATAACATCATCATTATCTGCATCCTGCCCTCGGTATTTTTAGTGATTCCAGATCTCCGTGCACTGTGTTCATTGGGAAAGTGAATACTTCTTAATGAAATTATATTTTGAGAGTTTGGAAGATGATTGCTGAGAGTTTTTTTATTTCATAGGGGTCACTTTGGACAAGAAATGTGGAGGTCCACTATCCATCTCAACTACCAGTTGGGGTTTAAATCAGCACGCATGTTCTACTCTGCTCCTTCCAGTAGGGGAGGATGGAGGCATTCTTTACATGCCTTCCCTTTTGAGCCAGGAAGAATGGTGTTCACTTCTGTTTTTTTACAAAAAAAACCACTAGCAGCAGAAAAATAGCTGTTCCTAAAGGGTTTTTTTTCTAAAAAAAATGGTTAATGACCACTGTCACTGCTGTCCTCAGCCTCATCGCAGGCTCCCACTGCTGAGCATTTACAGGTCGGGAATTGCTGTGCCCCAAGCCTCTGCCAGACAGAGCCAAGACCCTCCTGTTGAGAACGACGCAGACTCCTTCAGGGTCTGAGCTTAGCCTCTCCCATTTCCCACCCAGGGCATTAGCCACGCCAACCCGCAGCTCTATGAAAGATACCATCTTTGGAGTAGAACCGGAGGTTAATCTGTCCTTTGGAAAGGAAACAGGAATTGGGAAATATCCTGAGAGCACTTTTGTCCCAAGCCTAATTTCAAGTGCTGGGGTCTCGTCTGGCCAGTCTGCTACCTGCACTTGTCCCCGAAGCCGTCTGATAGGGCTAGCGTCTCCGCGGCCACACGGAAGACGCCTCCGGGACCCTTCTGGGCCAGCACCTCGTGCCTGCGAGGCCAAAGAAGGTCACTGTGCTAGAGATCTGTTGCAGAAAGTTTTAAGAGTGTCACCTCGTTCCTAGATGGTTGACCCTTCAATGTGTAGACCATGAGAAAGGACAAAATTCAGCACACGGAAGATAAAGTTGGTATTATTTTTATAAAGTTATAATGTCTTGACTTCATAAATCAAGGGAATTAATAAAGCAAAGTCTAAAAATAAAGATGACTTTAAGCTGCTCTACAATGTATATGGAAGAAATTAAAAACTTTAGCGAATCCAAGGTTATTTTTCTAAGCGAAAATATTCTCTCCAGTGCATTTGCCCCTTCATGGCATTGGGAGTCGGACTTTTTCCCTTCTGCATCGTGTTTAAGTATGATTTTTCAGCAAAACTTCTAGAAATCAGCTGTTTTACTGCTAATGCACATGTTGCGCTTCTCATGCCTCTGATTGGCCAATCCACAGACATGACAGTTTCAGAATTTGTGTGGAAATAGAGGCGCCAGATGTGGAGGAAAGCAAGCATCCCGCTCAGGAAAGCCTGCAACAACACACAACCATCTGTTTGAAGCAAGACCTAGCTTGACGTGCGATTTGAAATATGCCATATGGATACCAGAAACAATTGTTTTGAGGCCCTCACTGGCCATTACAGAACATCCTTTACCCATTGACAGTGAGCTTTAACTCCATGAAAAAGATCAAAGGGTGGTCTTTCTCTGATGATCTGAAAAATTTCACTCGGAATTTGTAGTTGGGCCAATTCGATACAGCATCTGACTTGTCGATGGAATTGATTTTTCACATCAAGAAGAAAGATTCTCGAAGTCGGACCCTTTTTCACATGATGTAAATCTGTGAAAGGTACTTTGAAATGTGCTGGGATAAGAGAAGACTGATTCTGTAGGACTTAATCATACGTGATTTTTTTTTTCTCAGTGATTTTGTTCAGGGAAGTGCTTCTGGGTCATTCGGAGACGCCTGATGAATTACCTCCTCGGCACGCCTGAGGACTGACGACGTTTGTGCCCAGAGAGGAGATGGGCTTCACTGGAGTCTGGGACAGGTGGTGGCTGGGGGGCCGTGGGCTGTAGGGCGGGTGGAGTGGGTGTCTCCCATGCAAGAACAGTGGTAGAAATGGGGCAAAGGAAGGAAGGCCTTAGCTTGCAAGTAAAAAAAAAAAAAAAAAAAAAAAAATCACTCCCTTTACACCAAGCACCAAGGAAATGACAAAAAAAAAAAAAAAAATGGCTGATTCTTTCCCTCCTTACAACAGGAGTTGAATAGTAATGATTGTGAGACATGGTCACTTTATTTTCGATTATGGAGCCACTGGACTTAGGAATAGGCCATCAGCTGTCCATCACGGCCCTGCATGCCCTCCAGCACCCTCCAGGAAGGCGCCCAGCACCCAGAGCTAACCCCCCATCTGCGCGTGCCTCGCAGCCACTGGGAGGACCATGCGCGGGGACTGGGTGGCCACCTGCAGGGCCCTGTGGCTGCCACAGACCTTTGTCACACGTCCACTGGAACCGCAAGAAGGCTTCCCAGAATAGCAACACCCGGCTTGCTGTTTAATCCATGCCCACTTCCAGAGTGAGCTTTAATAGTTGAAATTTCGAAAACGTTTTTCCCTAAAGATCTAACATGATTTTCCCTTCCATGAAAGGTTGACTCCAGAGATTTGAATTCATCAATGAGTTAAATTCATACGAATATGAATTTTTTTTTCTTTTGACCCAGGCCACATTTTAAGAAGAGTTCTTTTCCTGTTGAACTAATGAAAGCTGAACTCTGGAATAATACGATTCCCTCACATTGTAATGGGCTTGAGATTTCTTTCACCCTCAAAGACTAACAGACCTGGTCTTTTATTGCCAAGGGACAGGGATGCCCTCCCCGTGGTGCCCGATGCCTGGCCACTCACGGACGTGGCCAGGGAAGCATTGATCGGTAAATGCAGCACCCCAAATGTTAAATTACCTTTATTGAAACACACACATACTCACTCCAGAAAATGAGTTAACAGTACATGCATTTCATGAAAAACTTACAGGAACAAAAACTGTGTTTTAAAGTTTTAGCAAGTCACATTCTTACAGTAAACTCTCCAATACCACAATCTCAAAATTATCTCTGAAAACTGGTAACCCTGCTTCCATATTTTATTCTGTCTAATATAAAACGTCTTTCATGTAAGGGTAGGGAATGGAGAACTGTTTCTAACCGTGCACTCATAATTACAAAAGGACTTGAAATTTAATTCCCTGTGTCTCAGTTGATTATGTCCCATGATGTATATATTATATGTGGTTTATAAGCTAAACACTGGCCATTTTTTAAGTTCTGTTGTGAAATCGTATTTTTCTATGTTTTAACTAATTACAATAGATTTGGCTTTTTCTGAGTAACGTAAAGATTGCCGAACTACATATATATATATTAAAAAACAGAGTTCTATTTTAGCACAAAAGCATTTTATATTATTTATTGAATCCTTAATGTTTGTTTTCGTCAGAAACATTCCTTCTTTCTGCTCCTTTTTATTTGTAGAGTTTGTTATTTAAAGAAACGGCAGCCCTTTCTGTGCTTCATAAAATGAAGTGGAAATAACGCGCACAGCCACGTGGGGCGAACATCCCCCCTCACTGCCATGGACCGTTTGCAACAAAAGCTTGTCCTCGGGTCTGTGCCGAGAGGCGTGTGCACTTCCTGGGCAACGTCTGACAGCACACTTGTCATGAAATACTGCTTTCATCTACCTCTTCAGAAGGCCTCCTGCTTGTTGACAGGTACCCCCA